CACAAGGATATACACAAGACGACATGGATTTCACCAGATGAACACAACGAAAACCAGATAGACTTTATTTGAATCCCAAGGAAGTGGAGACGGAGCCTACTGGACACAAGGTCGAGGAGAGGAGCAGATGTGGGTTCAGACTGCTATCTAGTACAAGGGACTTTCAAGGTAAAGCTAAAAGCCTCGAGGTCAGCTGGGGATAGACCACAATGCAAGTTCAACGCTCAGTTATTGAAGGACACAACCACAAAAGACACCTTCACTGCAAATGTCAGAGCAAAGCAGGAAACACTACGCGACAGCACTGAAGAATCATGCGTGGAAGAACATTGGATGTCTCTGAAGGCGATTCTCAACGAAACGTGTTCAACGGTGTTAGGAAGAAAGAAGAGACAAGACAAGGAATGGCTCTCAACAGACACTTGGAAGCGAATAGAAGAGAGGAGAATGGTGAAAGAGAAAATGATTCAATGCAAGGACGGACAGAAGAAGGAGACGATGAGTTCAACTTACACAACATTGGACGAAGAAGTGAAGAATAGTGCTAGGAAGGACAAAAGACAATTCTACGACAATCTAGCTACTGAAGCTGAGAAGGCAGCAGGCAAAAGGGACCTGAGGACACTATATCAGATAACCAAATCTCTATCCGGGAAGAGATCAACACAAGCGAAACCTATAAAAGGCAGCCAAGGGAACCCAATTACCAAGGAAGAAAAACAGATTAAACAGTGGGCGGATCACTTCAAAGGACTCTTGAGCCGACCATCACCTGCAACCCGTCCAGAAATACCAACAACAGCACGCACACAACTGCAAGTTGACACCAATCCCCCAACGAGAGCTGAAGTCTTGAATGCAATCAAGCTACTAAAAGCTGGAAATGCAGCTGGACCAGATAGAATACGCTCTGAAGTACTGATAGCGGACTCAGAGACTACAGCAGACATGCTGACTCAATTATTGCAAAAGGCCTGGAAGGAGGGGAAGGTGCCTACTGACTGGAGGAAAGGTTACCTCGTGAACCTACCAAAAAAGGGAGACTTACGCCTCACTCTGCAAGAACTAGCGAGGAATCATGCTCCTGTCGACGTCAAGTGAAACCTGAGTCGCATCATCCTGGAGAGATGAAAGGACGCACTGGAGACAGAACTCCGACCAGAATTCAGGAAAGTCAGGTAAATCATGTACTGACCAAATTGCAACTCTACGCATCATCATCGAACAAAGCATGGAATGGCAACCAAACTTCTACCTCAACTTTATAGACTTTGAGAAGGCCTTCGACAGCATTGATTGTGAAGTAATTTGGAAATTACTTGAGTACTACGGCGTACGGTGCCCAAATATTCATCAACCTTAACAGCTGTACGACAATGGCACATATCAATAGTATATAATATATATTTCTTCCTGTTTATGCAGGAACATACCAATTGTACAGGCATGGATAAGTTATTATATAAATTGCACAAAATTTGATGTATAATGGATTTACAGTTTGGTTGTTCTTTCTGACATCAAAGTCAGTCGGAACAGTCTGCTATAAAGTTTGTTTGTGTAGCACATAAAGAGATATAGAAATATTGTCTCCGCATTAACAAAAAACCCAGACATCAGATGAATGTAATACAAATATCTGGGAAAAATAAAGCTTGAAGTCAATTCTCCTATATAACTTTGTTGTGAACAGCACCCTTGGCTTAAAGATTATTGATGTATTATGTTGAGATCAGTGATATATTTATTCCATTTTTCAGCAGTCTTATCGTAGTTTTACAACAGGAAAGAAATCTGATCGTGGATACGAAAACTAGATAAGGTCATGTTGGGTTGTTTTACTGCATCAAGTGGTGCCGAGGTCGATTCCAGAATTCCCCATTTGCTCCATTTGTGTCTGCAAGGCGGACTGTATTCGTAAGTTGAGTAAAATGTTGAAAACTATTTGAAGACCAGTTGCTTCTTCATTTCAGATCATGAATACTCATTTACAGCATGTTCGCCAGCGTCTTCAAATGGTAGAATTGGATCGTTCATGGAATTTGAGTGGTTATGAGATAGACTGTTTGGAATTAATCCTCATTTCAGTTTAGATGCAGGGTTGGACAACCACGACAATCGATTTATCTTCTCATTCCCGAACTCCACATTTAATCTCAAACCTACCTTAATTGCAACAGATAAAACAAGGTCACATGTGGTCAGCGACTTGCACACTTTCCACTTCTCCCACTTTCAATAGGTATGCTTTAAACCCATGAAGTGAGTCAGAATGAAATTCTGTCCAACAATCATGTACACAGACACCATATCCCCAAGGCTATGACAGTCTGGCAGATCTCAAATACTCCCCTTTATCCGTGTTGAGATTCCTTCGGCCACCGAATTGTCAGGCCTTATGCAACCACATAAACAAATGAAGCGATCAACCCATTCAATCATTTCACTCCGTTAAGACCAATCTTGTAATAGCATCCTACATCTTATAAATAGTCTTCATAAGACTCCAGTCTTCGCTAGTGTCTGCATCTAGGAAGACTATAGCATTTGTGCATATTAAGTCAACGAGACTATCCTCTGTCAACAACAAATCAGCTCGTCTAACATCCAAGTCGACTGGAGTTACATCCATCACGGAACCTACAATGGAACTGAATAAAATGCCGACACTAGACATCCCTGGTGGTCAACACTAGTTGTCGTCGCCGAATCTATTCAATCACAACAAGTATCCATAAGATCTAATATGGCTTCGTGAGTTCAATTCGATTGTCTGGATGATAAGAATGGGGCGTCTGGGACGTTTAAGGGTGACATGGAGGAGATCCTGTGAAGAGGAATTGAAAGTGTGTGGTCTAACATGGATGCAGGTGAAAAGTACAGCAAAAGACAGAAGCAAATGGAGACGTGCAGTTGAAGCCCTATGTTCCACTAGGAACCCAAGGAAGCAATAATAATAATAAACTCTCAGAAACTGTCAATGTCCAGCTCCTACTACGCTGGACCTCTCGCTGTCCCTGGAAGACTTTCAGAAACAATTTGTAATAACCAACGCAAAAAACCAAAACACATATTGATGACTCGAGAATCCTTTATTCTTACCCCAGAATGTTACCAACAATAAGGTTATTACACACAAGGTCTTAGAATAAATGTTATAACAATAAATCACGATAATACTTCTGATAGTTTTCTATCTTCCATCGAACAGCGAGCGATGAGACGATGACTGTTGGATTGATAACTCCCGCGAAAAATATGGAGGAGTTGGGTTTGAGCAAACAACCATGAATTGATCGTTCAATCTTCAGCTACATTGACACGTACTACCACAGCAGGAATGTATGTACTTCGAACGCTTCCTTCTGAATTTTGTCTTAGGCGAATGAAATACGGACATCTAGTCAGACACTTGGAAGGGCATTCGTTATTCAGAATTCTTCAGAAGACAAGTAGAACCCTACGAAAATCAAACTGCTGTATCTCCTATTTGATTACTCATCTCACCCTTCTGAACTCTTCTATCACTAAGAGCCATTAGGTGGTCACAGATCCCTGTGTCAATAAGACCATACAAATTTAAGCTTTCGTGTATTATGAGCACTAAACAAACTGCTTTCGCTAACAGTTTAGTGTTGGTCCTTTTGTTGAAGTCAAATCAGATGATGTGACTTAAAGATCTGTGGATAGTTGGAAGTGGCAGGAAAGTCGATGGTGTTCTTCACATTTTCTTTGGAGTATGTAGACAGTGTGTAGTAAAAGATGACTAGATTGAACAGCGCCACCATATGATTCAGAGATTTTTTAGTTCATGCTAAGAGTCACGGGCGGTCGTACGTTGACATCATGAAATGGATATGACTTTCCTCAAGACTATTCATGTTCCTTCGTGGTTCCACTGTCAGCTACCCTATAAATGGCATATGTTTTTAGCATCATAACGACTTGTATACACTTTGAGAACTATAGTAGGTACAAGTCATTTACTGTGGACTTTACTGGCTGAATCAATGGTTTTAACGCTTCGCCCGCTAAGTGGTCATCAGTAGCCTTCAGTATCCTTAAATCGACTACAGATAATATATGAGTCATGCTGTAGGTTTCATCATTATTCTTAAAGTTGCGGCTCTTGTGTTCCCTAGACCCTCCTTGAGAATACGGGAAAGTTTTCGTCCTCTGGAAGTACTCCATATGAAATCATTTTCAAATAGTTATTAAGAACGATTTATGGTATTAGATGTATTACTTTCCTTTATGCTTTTCTTTCTTTTGGGCGCTTAACTATGTATGTCTTCTTTTACCCAAATAACTAGTTGATGCAACCGGTCGTTTGAAGGTTATCGGTACTTTATACCCCTTGACGGAAAATGACGGCGATGTCAAGATGGAGAATACCTTTCGTCTCTGCTCTAATTCATTAAAAATGGACAAAACATGAAATTGTTTGGTGACAGTGCTTGGCTACAAAGTAACATCGAGTGTGATGGTCGATAACATTTGACAAGTAACAAGCATGATACACACTTTGTCTCAGAACGTGTAAGTAACCACTTGGCTACTTTATTACCAGTGACAGTACTTTTCGTATGTCGAAGGAGAATACTAGATTAGACTGGAGAGACCATCTACTGTTGAGTTATGTGACTTGATTTGTGTCATGATACATACTAATAAGCTGCTTCCAAGTTAAAACTATTATTAATTCAGATTATATCATCCTAATGTGTATCAGATATTCCTTGAAATTACATTGATGCCAGCATTTGAAGTATAGAATGTCGCTTCTCAACGACTTTCCCCTAATCTCTTCATTCTTCAAACTTCCTTAAAATTATATTCGTGTAATTATACACTTATGCGCATAGTTCCACAAAGAATTTATGAAAACCGAACTGAACAGTCAATAGAATTATTTATTCATCTGTTTAATATAAAAACTTTCTGCAGTTTAGCGTGAAGTCAATTTTGTCAGCAAAATTTGAAAAGGGTGTGGCAATTAAAGTGACAAGTAAAAGTGGATACAAAATGTCATGGCTTCAAGAACTTTGAAGAATTGACATATATTAATGTAAAGCTGATTTCCTAATATTATAAAGCGAAACTCTTATATCTAAAGCTATACCGTCACATGATATCGGGCTACATTTTCTTCAGGACTCTTAGGTTTGTTTTAAATTTTCATAGTTTCGGACAACTTAAAAATGAGTATGTGTTACTGCGCGTGCTCTTGAGTTTTATCTCATGACCACCCGTAAATGCATTTACTACCGTATTTCATAATTATTATTAACGAAATTATTTATATGCTCGGTGCAACTATTAATATCAATGGAAGATTTAATTCTAGTGAATGGAACAACTCTTATTTTTGTCGGACTATATCAAAGAATACAAGTTCTAATAACAAATTCAAAAATGTTTTTGATGAAATGGTAGAATATAAGCTCCTCAAGCACCTGTTATACAGTGTTAATGGTAATTGTTTTTTCATAATTACACTTTTTATCAGAAATTCCTGTGAATTTTATAAGATTGAACAAGCAATTATTGTCTCAGTTTATGAAACAAGATGGCATTGGTGACACGGATATCTACGTATACGCACTGTTGTTTTATAATGATCTCGAAAAACTGTACAGAATGCTACCCAGCAAAATATCTTTCGAAATGGTTGATCAGTACTTACAACGCCTCATGATCACTATCTTGACCACTGAAGCAACTAGCAGAAATCTCGGCCTCTCACCTGACAGCCTAAGGACATGTTTCCAAAGCAACAGGCTTTTTGCGCACTCTGTTAACATATTTGGAGATCAATCCTATGAATGGTTTAAATCCTTTAGTCAAGGTGTCAAGCATTATCAGAGAATTCACAGAATGTTACAAGTGAGTGGTTATCTTATAAGTGGTCTGAATAATTTTACCACATATTCTTTGTGTACAAAACACCTTTCATTAATAACTTTCATCTAAGCATACTTCGCAGCCAACCTGAAAGTAGACAAGCATGGTTTGAACATTAGAAAACCGCCAAACTTACCATACCTCACAATCAAGAAGCGAGCTCAAAGAAATCACTGGTTTATACTAGCTCGTAATCAGGATATTGGATATTGGATAAGCAACAGAGAGTAGTGTTGCTTTTCTAATATAAATAATTTTCTTGAAATATGGCTTCAAAATTGTAGTCCGAAGTTCGTGAGTGGTGTTGTCAACACTTGCAAATTAATATAGAGTAATTCCGGTCTATTGCGTTCTTAATATGCATCACTCAACTTGTTACGTAATGAAAGCCGATTTTATATGAACAACCAGTGTGATTATTGAAAAGTGGATGATTTTTAAATTATGCAGTTGCCTTCATCACTTTGGTAAAGTGGTCAAGCTTCAGACATTCGGTAAGTGTCCCTCCTTTGTATCCGGCGTGATAGTAAGCAAATCATTTCTAGAAGACTAAGAATGTGTCTTTTTAATGACAGTAGACCATACCTCTTAATACGCATTTATTTTTCGGCGTTCTTGATCGATTTTATCTAGACGAAAGTTCAATATATTACACAGATGTGAGACATTTGAGTACATGGAAATTTGCTTCGGTTAACAATATCACGCATCACCTCAAGTTTATCAGTCAGATATAACGTCAGCAGTAAAACACTGGTATACATGTTTAGGAAGATTAACCTACTTAAGATAGTTGACGAATTAGGACTGTCAGTTTACAATTTGTATCAGACTAAGAAAACGCTGGGTTCATCCGCTAGCCATATTCCATTAGAGAGTAAATATGTGACAAGAGGCCATTTCCTCAAGTTCTAAGCCACTGAAAGGCACTGTAGATTTTACAAATACTTTGATGGAATATTTAGCAAATCTTTATGGTTTTATTATTTTATCATAAACATGTCATTAAATTTTAGCTAACGTTGAATGTCCTGGATTCAGGTCCTAGTGGTTCATGTCAAGCTGGTATGCGAAAGCTTAGCTTGGGCTGCCCGGATACAGATGGCTGTTTTGGAACTGTCGCCAAGCAAGAATGTTCAACTCCATGTTCAAGTTACTGCACAAATATAATTCGTGGTTGTTTAACTCCAACTGTCTTGTTTGCCCCAAAACAATTTGCTTATCTTGATATGAAGTTATTATGGAATTATAAAAGCCAAGTGCATTTTAATGATCTGGTAGCGTCATTAAACGCTACCAAGTTGTACACACTCCTAAGAGAAGGAATCAAAAATGTTGAAGAAAACGTCATACCACTCAAAAGTAGGGTAAGTCTTACAAATAGAGGAAACATCCAAATTTGTAGTGTTATTTGAAATATTTGTCAAAAGAACTTCACAAAGAATACTTTGTAAAACCCAATAAAGTGATCACAAACAGATGTACGCACGAAGTTAAATGAGAGACGTATTCTGAATTATTCCTTTTAGGCCTGCAAGTAATCATGCGCTGCATAAATACAGGATGCAGTGCAAATTTAAGAAAATCCCAAAATAGACTTACGAAGACTGACAGAGAAACCCATATTGTGTTTCAGAATGAAGGAGTATCTATACTGAAGCCATAAGAGCAACACTGTCATCTTTCATGAGGAATTGCTAATCTTTGTGAAAATTGTCTCTTTCACTTAACTTTAGCCACATACATTTCCCACACATGCCAAATTTTACGTTATTCTAGCTGGCATCAGCTTCACAACTCATTATGAATAATGTTGATACCACTTTAACCAGTTTGTTGATTGCAGAATACACTTTAAAGCCGAACAACTATAGAAACAATTGACTTAAGAGGTGTTTTTCAAGAAACTTAATAAAATAACAGGGTGTATCTGATCTGTATTATGGTGTTTGAGAGAGCCTTCAAAGGCACTAATTTTTCCCCTAGGTTTCTAAAACTGTATACATGAAAGCATTTGCTTAGTGTGCACTACTTATACTTATTAAGCAAGCCCCAAGGTTTCTTAGTTTCAGCGCTTTTTCATACTGTCCAGTAAAAACGTACCGGGCTTTCGACTGCGTGAGTAAATCACTTAAATCTGAACTGATAAATGTACGTTTACTAAAGTAGAAGCGTGTCATTACTATTAATTTTTCCTGAGCATTATTTTAAACAACTGTTATTTCTAGAGTCAATCAAAGACAGAACTTCATAGGTAATAAAAAGTGGTTAAGATGAAATACAAGGGATGCAAAGGCCCTTTATTAGCAGCTCTTTTTATCCCAGAGTGATTAATGAATGGAAATTTGGCTGCTGCATTAACTGATAAGTAAAAATAAACGTTGTGTTATACCACCTAAGCATCAATAAAATCTAATTTTGTGAGCTCCCATCAAACTAGCAGCAATACACTGCCCTGAAGCAATTCAAACAAATCAAAATGTATTTGGTCCCCGAATAGAATAGCTTTGACTTTTTATTTTAATGCATATTTTTGTAGGTTTTACGAAGGGCATCCAGAATGGTTCTGAGTTATAAAATCATCCATAAAATCAATAGTAATTCAGTCAGGTTAAGTTTGTTTTTACGAAATAAAATAATAAACTAACTGATCTGTGAATTAAGATTAAGATGATTTTACCGGACATTTGAAAAATCTCTGAATAGCTTTATAACTTTTACATTTTACAGCTTCAACAATTCTGTCGAGGAAGCAAATTAAAAAGTACTTCAGTCTCCTCAAGTGCATCTTATCACGATAACGTTTTACCAAATGAGATGAAGACTGTATATGAGACGAATTTCAGTATAGAATACAATAAAATGATAGATTTTATAAAAACAACTGAAAAGGACTTGAACTCCTTGATTAACAAAGTGGATAATTTGAAAAAATACATGAATAGTATTGAATCATTCTATTGCTCCGAAGGAAATGAATATATGTGCTGGAATGGATCATCATTTGATCGGTGAGTAGCCTGTTCATTTCATATCAGTCATTTCTATATTTTCTTTCAAGTGATTTAGAAAGGACTAGGAATATAAAATTTCCTCTTTCTAAAGTTTCATTATTTCTACATTTCTGAGTCAACAATAATCGTAAATGTTTATTCCTGGGTAGGCTGGACATTGCACAGACTGTTAATATTAGTAAACACTGCTTATTTAAACATGAGTATTTCCATTTACTAAATACTGATAAAAGCAACATTTTCTAAAGTTACTGTTCATCTCCATTCCCGGTAATGTTAAATATTTTGTTGATGATGTAACGATGACTAGATTTTCATTTTAACAAGTGTTTTTGGATTTCTTTTCCCACTGAACTAAATTTTTCCATCAACGTCTGCTCATTTATGTATTAATGAACTATTCGTAAATCTGTGATTGAAATATTATATGATATCTTAGCGTCTCTCTATGGCGAGTCTAGAACTATTCCCATTACCAACACTGCAGAATATATTTCACCTAACAGCTCAACCCACAGTCATGTGTTCACAATTTAGGCCAAAACTTAAGTTCAGGCTCACAAAACAGTTTGCTAAACTGAACCAAGCTAACGTTTTAATGTGGAACTTTTCATAAAAGTGCAACATTTGAAGTAGCCACGCTTCATAGAGAGAATAAAAAACGTCTAAAGAAAATATAACAAAGGGAAATTTACAGGGAAAGGAGCAATTATATGGACAATACTGAGAATATATTAGATCTGGTAGATCACAGAGAGTAAACAAACCATCACCATTGAAAACAAAGAAGTCCCATGGCATTGGTCCTGAACGCCTTGAGAAGCCTCAGTAAGCAGTTGACATCCCCTACCTGGTCTGTGCAGCAGCTGAAGACTCCACCGGTTCCAGTCATCATCAACAGAAAAGATTTGGGTGAAGTTAACTACTTCACCTATTCGGCTAGGAAACATCGTTTCAACAACAGGCGGAGTGGATGAAGATATCAAAGTCAGGATCAGAAAGTCCGGATAACCCTTCGTCAACCTGAAACCAGTTTGAAAATCTCCTGCGCTCAGCCAGTATAAACAAAAACATTAGGATTTTCAGCACATATGTGAAGTAAGTCATTCCCTCTCTACGGGTTGGAAACGTGGTCAGCGTATAACGTAAAGGATTTCCTTCAGGTTACAGACTTTAATCAACAGCAGCCTTCGCTATACACCGAAGATCGAATGGCCAGAAAGAAGTGACAACAAGAAACTCTGGTACTAGATGGTTGGGGGCAATCGGCAGGAAGCTTTGCATCTAAGTTTCGTGCTAGTTGGCAATCACTAGTCAGCAAGGCGTATCTGCAACTTTGAAGGAACTCATGTTCCTTTCTGAGATTCGAACCCGCGTCACCCAGTGCTGACTGCAGTCGGAGACGTTACCACTGAGCTATTCGGACTGGATCGCGATTGACCTCCTGAAGGACTGTAGTGGATATTTTGATTGGACACTAGTAGCTAGTGTCCAAGGCTATTGAGAGGGCCGTCGAATGACACCGCGTTCCAGAACCTCGAGTGGAATCCCGATGAGGGACAACGAGTTAGGATAGATGCGCGGGTGACATGGAGGGGTATGTACGAAGTGGAGATGAGAGATTATGGGCAATGGTAGGCCGAGCTGGAAAGGATAGTAGAAAATAGAACAAGGTGGATATGTGTTGTTGAAGCCCTATATTCCACATGGAACCAAAGGAAATAATAATAACAATACAATAATAACTGTCACGCACCGCTTACTGGTAGTAAATATTTCAGTGATGGCTGTGGTAGTATTCAGAAGCAAGCACAATTGTAAGAGTGATTTTGAAAATTATAATATCACTCACATTTGGATGGATATCTTTTGAAACTAGTCTGTCAAGTAAATATCATTTTTATTCATTTCAAGGTACACTAGGAAAGTCTCAGATTTTTCTATGAACAGTCAAATGCGCAACCCAGAAATAATAATAACAAGTGAAGACTTACAATTTCATCTGTTGCAAGAAATGCATGTGCGAAAAAGGACAGAAGCTAAAGGCAGCTATTCCAAGGCAAGTTACCTTATTACCTAAAATACCTTGATAGATCAACTGAAGTCGTAATCAATTTAGTTTAAGAGTAATTAAATTGAACCAGGGACAAAATACCAGGATTTTTTATACATATGGTAAGCCTGTAATCTGTTTTTGAGGTAGTGCCGTCACCTAAGTGTGTATTGTCAGCGTCACTGAATATTTCAGAGCGTAAGTTCACCAAAGAAAAATATTACTTTATGTCTGCTGAATGCCACTTAAGTACAACAAATGCTTAAACCACTGGCGACTAGTTAAAATCTGACTAGCCACTTGCTTCGGCTGCAAAGTCAGCATTTTAACTAATAGAATGAGATGGGTGCTTTTTATTAATGCTGATATACTCTCTTCATAAAAAGGATAAGTGCAGATGCATTCTGTAACAAAAATTGGGAAGCATAGTATAACTTTAATATCTCTAACACCGTAATAAGCCATATATATTTAAATATATATATTTGAACAACAATTCAATGAGTAAATTTTTATATGACGTCTCATTTAATTTACTTTTTTAAAGATGAATGTAGGAAGTGAAATTCCACCATCCAACTTGGTAATCAGTCAAACCAACTCCAAACACGAAAATGAATTTAAAGCAGAATCAAGCGGTATGCATCCTCAGTTCTCGCTTACTGAACTTGATATGTTTCAAATGAATACTTATAACGACGATGGAAATCCCTCACCATTTTTTAGTGATTCTAACGGCAGACAAGAAAATAATGATATTTCTTCAGATGACTTAGTTAATCGAGCTGTGAACCAAGGATGTTCTGTAGATGATGAAGATTGTCAGTTACATTTTGCTGATATCCATCTTGAGGAAAACGATAGCAATGAAGTTAATGGATATTCTACATCACATGATATATCGTTGGATTCAGAAAGAAATTCCCCAGGTATTAAAATTTCATATCAAATGATTAAGAAACTGAGATTTTTAATTTCTGAGAACAATTAGTATTTTGACTGCTTTCATTGCGATTCACCTAGGAAATATTGCCAGTTTTTCCTTGAGCGTTTCCCAACACACAATTTATCATAAAGTCGTAATTGTCATTCCTCTATTCAACAAAGAAACACTTAGCTGAATACATGGAATTAAACGTAGCAAGAAATGGAGTTTATCAGTTGTGAGTATGTTAGCGGAATACGGACTAACCAGCTACTTAAGGCTAATTTCATATCGTAGTGTTGTTGTGATATATATTTATAAGATATTCTTATTCTTTCTTCAATATCACCCAAAATCTTTGTATAATTGAATTTAGGTATTTTCACTTAATTATGCGATAAACTGGTGTAACTGATAAGTGGACGAAGAATAACTTTTCATACTTAATATTTTATTTTCGATGCAACCTTGCGTAAAGGCCACAATCAGCGATTTGTACTACAGTTAAAACTCCATTTGACAAATTTAATAATAAATTTTCCTACCTTTAACAAATGATTGTTGTTTTGGAGTCTTAGCAAGTAGTAAATTAACTCTTAATAGCTACTGTTATCACGTGTGCGTCGGTGGTACAGTGGTTAGGACGCTCGCCAACCATGCACGTGGTCCGCGGTTTGATCCCAGGCCGACGCACTCCTTTATCTCGCTAAAACAGAAATAATGCTGGTAAAGGGGAAAGGTTGGGCATGAGGCTAGCAACCTCATCCCGTAAAAATAGTCACCACTGCTACAGAAACTATAAGCCAATAGCTTGAGGCCCTATGTTCCACTGGGAACGTGAAGGAAAAAAACTGTTATCATGAAGGTATTTATGATTTTACGTCAACTTTCGAACAACAACTTGCGGAAGTCTGTGTACTAAGTAAAGGTGTATGATTTATCAGTCCTGCTTAATCAAAATTTCCAAAGTAATAAAAATGTTCTTTTAAATGTCAGCCTATGCTTCAAATGTGTTAAGAAAATATTGCACTGCTTAAATATTTGTGCTTGATAAAGATTTAGGGACAATATCGGGCGGGTTTCCTCCTTAGTATCGTGTACATATCCATAGACGTATTATCTGTAGTTTCCTCCACTGACGAATAAGGTAACATTTGTAATTCATAATAATGAAGGTTTTTTTCTGTATTTCTCAATAAATGAAAAACAAAACGATATTGGAATCCAAATTGTCTGAATAGGAATGATGGACTAAAATAGAATTTGACCCGGTTACAATACCTCCCTCCGCCAAGAATTGTCAAAATCAACACGAATGTGATAAGAAATTTCATTATGTAAACACACGCTGCTTTTATAATTTTACACACTTATCAAATCCAACAGTCTACACCTGGTTTTGTTATCTTTACCAAGTGGCCAATTTGACAACGGAAAAATGACCCCATGCTGAAGAAGGATGATTAAGTTGTTATATATAAGCTGAGATTTTGTAAATTCTGGTTTAATAATACTTTGATAAAGCTATTAGCATTAAATAGCGAAATGTCAGTAGAAACAATATCGTATTTTTCATTCATTGGGAAATACAAAAACCCTTATTATAATGAATATCGTATACCCAATGCCCAAATGTTTTCAAACTGTTAAAAGTAAGCTTGGTTTGGACATATGTGACATTTGTAAGCCTAACATTTCAGGTGGACTTACGAAGATAAATACATTGATAAAGAAAGTGGTTAATGATCAGTAAACTTAACGCCTATTTATGCAATAACCTGATTATAATTTTCTGAAAGATTCTTTTCCAAAGAACTGTGAATCACTCCTCCTTATTTGATTGTCAGCTTGGAATAGGATAACATTTATCATTTTAGATATGTATGAGTAATTCCTATGCGACATATTTTTGCTAAAATTTTCGTTCACTGGTAAAATTTTATCATAATTGCTTATTTTTTGTAGATAACCAGTTGAGTGAAAATAAAATTACAATGGAAACAGAGCTGAATAACGTCAAAATATCTAACACTTCGAAAACTCTGAAATCTGAAAAGCACATTAATTCTGTGAATAAGATATCTGAGAGTTTGACGGTTATTATCTACACCACACTGGTAAACTTTGTTTATTTCCATAATGTTTAGTCTTTAAAAAGACTGAATTTCACTGTAAATAGACTGTTTTAGTAGCTTTTCCTATGTGTTTTGTATTCTTCTTCCTAATTTTTATTATTCTTGGCATAAAAGCAAAATCTATTCTGTTTGTTACACGTGCATAATTCCTACGACATTAATCTACACACATATGATGTGTTCATAAACATGTCTAACCTAACCGTTGATTGGTTTAAAAGGTTGACTTTTCTATGCATTTCTCTACACTTCGTTTTAATTTCGGATGTATTCTTGGCATGATTTCCCATCTCAGTTTCTTAAATGCCCTCATTCTTCCTTCCTACAAAAAATCTATGTACTGCATTACTGTTTGATTTCGAGTTTCACCTGCCTTAACGTGATCATATGCTGATGTACTTTTTTAAACAGAATAACTTACTGCATATACTCATAATAAACTTTAAAACTACGTAAGGTTATCCACATATTAAACATAACTGATCTAAGTATATCACCGTCTGTGTTTATATATATATATATATATACATAAGGCACTACGGAAATATTCTAAAAGATTTGTGTTTAAGGTAACATGTTCCTGAAACACAATGAGTATTAATTCGGTGTTTTATACTCATTCTTTTCTTCTATAGTTTTCATTAAGGGTTATTTGATTATGTGTACACTCTCAGAGGTTGAAGACTTTCCCTTTTCCCAATGGAAGACTAATTATTTAGCATAATAATAATGAACTTCAGTAGTATTAGTCAGCTCCATACCTCGTAACATGTTAGAACACATGAAAATGCATAGTCAGCATACATAAGTAGGAAAATGGATGTCATAGAGGGACTTTGCAAATGTGTAGCAATATTTCTTAAAGGTTACGATTATGATAATTAGTTATAAGGCGATAATTATTTTGACTGCCTAGTCATGAATGAAGTTTCGGAAGTGTACCGACTAGGTGTGCAGTATTCTTCCAAAGGTAAGCGATACAGTGTTTATGCGCAATGATACCATATAGTTTAACATAAGACAGTAGAAGAAGCAACAAGGAAATAGTACTGTTTTGCAGGACTGTCATGCTTCTAACCACCTAACAGCAAATGTTCATACAGTCCTTAGGACGTTCATGATTCCTATGTGGTAAAAACCTGATAAATTCATAGTTGAGTCATTCAGGTCATGAACAATTCCGTTTGGAAGTGAATAATGCCCGTAAACTGGTGGTCGAAAGATAATCATTATGGGTTTCTATTTTAGTCAGTTTCAGAAACACAAAACATAAGTAGGCAAATTTCCAAATATCCAATCGTGTTTTGTTTATGGGTGATGGAATTCTCTCAAATGCCTTGTAAAATGTGATATGGGAGCTGAATAAATCTGACTAGAAGGCATTAACTAGATTTCGTCAGTTTCAAAGTGTGTATTTTCAAAGTTATACATAAAAAGGCTGCTGGGAAGCTACTTCGGTTTGTAGAACCCCATGCCCTTTGTCTGACAAAAATTAACATTTGGACAGAAAGGGGAACAGCGGTCAGCTTAAACTGTCTTCCGTTACAGACTGTAAACACCCACTTACCTATATCAATTTCTACTCACAGCTGTTAATTCTGTTACGTTATACTTGTTCACTAAATTATATATATATATATATATATATATATATTGATATCACCCAGCAAAATCAATAAAAGCGAGGAAGCACTGGACACATGTGTCGTTCTAGTATGAAACTCCGAAGCACTACATAAACACGGCCCAGTCACAGATTAAACCGAGGAAAATGAGCTTATAAAATTAGTCTGCTGATAACTCACTGCTCACCTGTTGCTGACTGTAAATTGGAATTCCTTGAGCTTTGATGAGAAGTCTTAACCATAAGTGTCCACCACATCCGGAGTTAGGACAGACAGTTTCCTATGACAGTGGATGTGAACGATAATAACCGGTGGGTGTCAATGCTATAGTAATGCCTCTCGTTTGACTTACATCAGGTGAATGTTACAAATACCAAAAACTTTGCTCAGAGTAAAGAAAATCTGAATTAGAGCCAAAAGAATTATTTTGTTCTCATACAATAGGCTAGTTCCTAGGACAGTGAAGTCATTGGCGGTCAACTCCATCATAACATCCACAACAAAAATAAAGAGATGTGGTGTTAGCCATCTCTGAGGCATATCATCAATTTATTTTTAATTTGCACAAAGTCTTAGACGGCTACCAGAGTTCATGTAGTGGTTTCTTCGCTACAATTAACGCTACAACATTTCTTAAATGATGGATTTAACTTACCGACCTCAGACTAAGAAATACGGTAAAAGCTAGTCGGTGGTTAACATTTTTATGCACCAGAAAAGTAAGTCTTCAGCTGACTCTCGCTCATCCTTAATGGAGACCTGTTTGATTTTCCTGTATTTATTTCTTCTTTGACCTATTTATTTATCAAGCAACAGCGGAACTTAGGATTTTTGATGCTTTATTAATCAAGCTGACTGCTTGTAGTTATGAAAAGAAGATCTGTCCGCCTCGTTACAGATTGGGATGTTTAATGATTTACAACAGTCTCCAGGGTTTGAGTAGTACCTTATTTAGTTAAGCCGTATTTTCTCCACCATCATTCTTAACAGGCTATGAGGTTCTTCTGTCATTTCTCTTTTTGGCAACAGACTGGATTTGACATCTCAACTACAGTTGCAGAATAGGTTTATGCACATCAGTTAAATCGAGGTTGAATGGTGAGTAGCTACATTGAAGATGTAGGTTGGCTGGTTGATAACTGTTATTTAGCGTGAGTGCTTTCTGGATTTCACTCAACTTTTTCCATCTACTACTGTTTATAGTCGCTGAGAACAATTTGATTTAACTTACTTTAAGGGAGTTTTTACTTCCCTTCATGTTCTCAGTCTGAGAAATAAGCCTCCTTGTATGATCATTTAGTATTAGGCTTAGGAAATCCAATGACATTTATGAATTTCCAACCGGGGGTCATCGACTACCTTCATTGACGTCTTGATTTCAGAACAGATGTGGCTCTGGACTTATTCAAGAGCAGATAACTTAGTTAAGTTCCCCCCATATGCAGAGTTAAGATTCACATTGAAATCCCGATACGTAGGAACTTTACAGATATTAGTTTGCCAGGTTCATGGAGAATACAGGTTCACAGACTAGCTCATTATCTCAATTAAGGATGATTCGGGCAGCATGGTGGTCTCCCGCCAGTCGTCTTTACTGACAAATTATAGCAAGTGCTCTATCTCTACCCATTATTGGTTTGGTATCTTTGTTGGCCAAGCAAGTCATCACCTCACTTTATATATGATATTCGCTTTCAGTGTATCCTTTGACATTTCAGATCATCACACAGTGCTATTATCAAACTAACTAATGCTGAATACCTGTAACAAATAAAGATGAAAACACCTCTGTTAATGCATCTGTTGGCTGACCGTCTTGGTTCTAGTTCTGCTTAAAATTGCGAAAAGAAAACATATCTCTACAATTTGAATAGGTCACCTATTGTATCAGATTACGAATTATGTTCTACAACAGAGTCCAAATTTGACTTTTACACTCATTATGTTGCTTGTAGTGGGTGTGTGGAATACGAAAACCTTTTCATTTGTTATTGCTACTACGATTTTGAATAAGTGAAACAGTTCGTCCATTTGACAAATTTAAATAAAGCACTGAACGAACGAACTATTTTAGTATAAACGCTACTTTACATAATTGTAAAGCTTGTCATTTTTAAATGTTTTTTTTATAACGAAATCGTCTTGAAAGTCAACTTTATTATTTTGAAGTCATTTTTAAAGCTAGATAATGTACTGATTTCAATTAGGGTAGTAGACAACTATTTCCTCCTGGTCTGGGGATGTTCAGAATTACGTACCAATGACCTCACCACGGATTGAACTGAAACTGATAAAAAATAGACCCTTGAAGTTACTTTTGCAACTTTACTATTTGTAATTAGAAATAAACTGAGGGAAGTGAAATATTTTGTCATTCTGTGAATTAATGCATAGAAGCTTAATGAGCGTAAATTAGATCTCATGGAAAATTCCCATTGTAACATATAGAAAATCAAAACAAGTGATTCAGTGAAGAGACTCTTTTCAACGAATTTTTCATCAAAATGCACAATCGTATATATATGGTTTTTAAGAAATTATATCCGGTGAGGGAATTGAATCATAGGTGTGAATGCATAAAATAATAATAATAATAGTATGAAATGCAATCAAAACTAAAATGTTTGTGATTATGATTATAGTTAAATGTTAAGTGGCAAAAAGCAAATTAATGTCATACATAGAATAATTCATAGGATGGACAGAACTTGAAAAAGGGTGTGCAATTATAGGATTGAAAACATTTATTTCCCGATACGAATTTAAAACAAGCAATAAAGGTTAATAAAGCAGGATTTAATGAATTCATCAAATTTCGGTAGAACTCGTCAGCTGAATACTCTACATACACGGATATATATACTTTTGAAATTACATTGGGAGATATAAGACTGATAAGTAAACAAACTACATTGAATTAATCATGCAGAGAGACAGGTGCGAATATTTTCCAGGTCATGTTCAAATAGATAAGGGGAGAGAGAGTATGAGAGATCAAAATTAAGATAAATGGCATTACGCTTCAATTGCATCACTTAGATAAACAATTAGTCACTAGGGAATATAAGGAGAATTGCAAACAGACTAATATCAATAGTAATAGTTATAATAACAGTTTTAATAGTGTTGAAGTGAGTTAAGATAATCTTACTGATAAAGCATAGTTTTAGATGAATCAAGAATAATGGTAATAATAATAACAATAATAGTAAGAAGAAGAAGAGGTAGAATAATAACAAGTAGAGAATAAAACGTATTACCATGGTAGATTAAGAGTTACGACCATCTCCTTTTGTATACAGAGAGCTGGTTTATAAATTCGAATTGCACAAGCCTCTGCAATCGCAAGCATCTTCTTGTTTCTTTGTTTGCTGACAATGGTAAATTACTTGACTGCGTCGATATCATGTCCGTAATCTACAAGATGTTTTGTTATTGAGGATTTTGGCACCTTGAACTCAGCTGTTTTCAACCATTTTGGCAAATGCTCCAATTATAGGATTAGTAGAAAAATTGAATAAAATAAAAAAGTAAAAACGTTACGTCATATTGTGTGAAATTTGATGGCATGGAATTTATCGTTGTAAAAAAGAATTGATTTAGAATGACAAGTGGAACAAGTGAAATAATACCGGGGACAGTTCAAAGTGAGAATAGTAATAATAACAATTGACGTAATAAGCAAGAGAATACAATTTGAATAGAAAAAATGAAAAAATGAAAAATTAATAGAGCTAAAATATGATTGGGGATTACCATATTTTAGCATAGAGGGATTAAGACCATGAAAGTTGGAGGGGTTGAACGAACTTTTTCTGTACACAGAGATCTGGCTTTTCTATTTCGATAGCCAAAGCTTCAGAAATACAGAT